TTGTCAACCTCAAGCTCAAATGCCTCAAAGCCTCGGCGCACTCCTAAGTTGGTCGGTTAAACCGAATACCATAATTGTGGGAGATTTTAAGTTCCACCACGAATTATGGGAGCCCAACATTTCCTGGTCGTCTGGCGTCATCAGCTTTGTTGAATGGATTGACAATTATTCTTTGAGGTCAGCATTGCCCTACGGAGCTCCCACCCATCGCGCCGGCCATGTCTTCGACCTAGTACTTGCGGACATGAAAGGACTTCAAGCCCGTGTGGATCCGGAGACATATTCAACCTCCGAACACGAGACAATATCCGGCTTCGTCCAGCTCTCGTCATCACAAAGGCGACACCCAATGCTGAAGCTGCCCAGATTCAACGACGAGAATGCTGAGGTATTTCGTCTAGCTCTCTTCGCTACTGCACCTCCTACTCTTCCCTTTGAGCACCCATCCCCCAAACGCCTGGACGTGGTGACTTCATCGGGCATCGCCGCTCTCTCAGCAACTTTGCTTGCAGCTAACCCTCCGAGGCCTGTATGCGTTCCATGCAAAGATTATTGGAACCACAAATGCTCAGACCAACGGCGTCGGTATCTCGAAGCCCGCCATATTGGTGATCAAGATCTCATTAGTGAGGCACGCAGTAATTTCCGGAAATCTGTAAGACGAGCCAAAAGCAAATACAAGCGGCTCAAGTTGGATAACGCATCTTCGACCTTGGAGGCCCATAAAGTTGTTGGACGGCGGAAGTCATCTAGTCGCTTCAGCCCTCCTATTAAATTTTAAGGTGTTACGCACAGCACCCCGACCGAGCGTGCAGATATATTCTTTTGAACTAAGCTTTCCCGCGCAACTGATCGACCGGATATACCTAGAAATACAGCCACCTGCCCACTGCGTTCTATCCCCGCACATCTCTCTGTGGACGAAGATGAAGTGCGCCACTGTCTTCTGGAAGTTTTGTCAACTATTCCTGGACATGACCACCTCTCTATCTCAGCTCTACGTCTGGTATGGGAAGTGTGGAAACTCGAGGGACAAAAGACGATTGGCGAGTGGTCAAAAGCTGGCGTGGACTCAAATCATAAGATTCTAAACTAAAGAGAAAAGTATCTAGGAGGATATGAATCTGTATATATTTACATAAGAGTTCAACTGTTGAAATAGAGTTGCCAACACGAAACCCCCTGTCCCTCATTGCCTACAACCCAAGGGTTTTGCATGAAAACCAATATCCATGACAAACCTTTTGTATTGTGATGTGTCACACACAAGATTTGTGTGTGTGAAACTAGTCGTAGGAATTCCTAGATTGACCCGGTGTCGGCTTACTAAATATTGGACCGATGACCACGTGGCCACTAAAATGTCGGGGCGTCACAGGAAGTAGGTATATGGCGCTCGTGGATTGTTAACCTATACAGCCTCTGCCTGGCATATGGTCACCATCCCAGCATCTTCCGCCGCGCCGAAGTGGTGGTCATTCCTGAACCGCACAAGGACGATCTCACTAATCCTGCCAATTGGCGACCGATTTCGCTTCTCTCAGTTCTCGGGAAAGGGCTGGAACGCCTCCTTGCGAGACGCTTTGCCTTCTGGGCCTTGTTAAATCGCATTATCTCCCCCTTGCATTTCGGATCGCTACCCGGAAGATCTGCCACGGATCTCGTAGAATGTTTGGTTCACGATGTCGAAAAAGCGTGGGAGACAAAGCAGGTGTGCACTCTCGCTAACCCTAGATATCCAAAGTGCTTTCGATAGCATTCAGCCTGGCCGTCTCCGCGCTCGTCTTTGCGAGCAGGGATGGCCTTTACCATACGTGAATGGGGCTGCTTCCTTTGCTTCTTGCAGGAAAGCTCGTCTCAGAGTGGATGATTTTGTAGGTGACTTCTTGGATATTCCGCATGGCTTGCCCCAAGGATCCCCTGCTTCTCCTCTTTCTCGAGCCATTATTTAAACTCGGATTTCCTACATTTGGAGACGTAGAAGACGTAGCAATCCTCTCGGTCGCAAAAACTCTTGCCGATTCTTCTCATCTGACCATCAACAGGGTCGGAAGCATTACCCGTTGGTGCGAGCAGAATGGACTCTCTCTGGCAGAAAACAAGACCGAAATCCTTCATCTTTACAGATCTCGTGTCACGGTTTCATTACAAAATGCATGAGCAATGTTGTAGGTACAATATTTTAATTATAATTCTCTGAAGAGAGAATTTCTGTACTTAATGACTACCTATATATACAGACTGAAATACCCCTCCTCGATAAGGTTCTCTCTATGACCTGTCAACTCAGACTCTCCGACAATCGCCTGTAGATCCTTGATACTTCTGTAACCCTCATGAACTCTCAGTAGGTTTCAACAAGGCTCAATGTGAATCATCTAGGTTCCCTGTCATCCAAGATCTTCCCAGGAACCTCCCTTCGTATAATTGCCTGCACTAGACAACGTAGGCTACAGGAACCCTTAGGCTTGATAGCCGTCACATCTCGTCAATCTTCTCCTCTGGTCATCATCAATGGCGTCCCAAAAAATACAAATTCTACTCTAAGATGGCTAGGTGTCTTTCTCGACACCAAGCTCTCTTTCAAACAACATGTTCAAGAATGGAGTGCTAAAACGCAACGGATTAGCGCCCATGTACGACAGCTTGGAAATACCAACCGTGGTGTCCCAACAACTTTTCTGCGCACTGAAGCCCTAGCTGCGGCGCTACCGGTCCTCTTGTATGGTGCTGAGGTCTGGTGGCGCGGTCACACTTATCTCCGCCGAGGACGTTCAACTTCAACCCGATCTCAACACCTAGTAGACGTGATCTCTCGAGCTTTAGTCAACCTGGCCAGAGCTATCCTACCAGTATACAGAACTACTCCTACTGCTGCACTTCTGAGAGAGGTGTGGCTCAAGCCAGCTCATGTTCTACTTGAGGAGATACGCCTCCGCTACGCTGTTAGGCTAGCTGCCGCAGACGACTTTCATCCTTCGGTCAGAAGATTAAAAGACCCTCGCGTATAATCTCGCCTCGCCGAAAAATTGAAGCTCGTTTCGCCCTTCCCCCGCCCTCGGCTCTTACCTCCCTCCTTTAAAGCTCCGCTTAATCGTACTCGAGCAGACTTTTCCGTCCTAGAATTTTCCGAGCGTATCAGCGCACTTCCACCATGGGATATCCTTGTCTTCTCGGACGGCTCGAAGCAAAGCGATGGGTCTGCTGGGGCAGGTGCCATCGTTCTCTATAAAGACATCACTGTAGCTCAAGTGAGGGTGCCCCTCGGCCCCGATTTCGAGGTCTATGACTCCGAAATTATCGGCGCCCTGGCAGGGCTTGAGGCCGCTGTAGCTGCCCCTTCAACTCATCTCGCAACCAACATCCACGTTATCTTAGACAATCAAGAGGCAGCACAAAGCCTCCTCAATTATTCACCATCTAAGTCCTCGCAAATGGATATTCTAGAATTTCGGGATCTCGCGTCTTGCTGGCCTACGAGGAGAATTCTGCCTATTGCATCTCCTGGCAAATTCCAAGTTATGTGGTCTCCCGGTCACATAGGTATTCCAGGCAATGAGCTGGCCGGAGAGGCGGCTCGCCAACCAGCCCCCTCCTGCCGCATCCCTTGCCGGAGTCCGCGCAAAGATTAAAAGGCAAATATGGGACTTGACCATAGCTTGGTGGCAATCTCATGCTCCCTCTACCTATTGTGAGTTAGGGATGCCATTCCCCAAGAAGCCTCCAGAGGAACTTCGACTCCCTCGCCGATATCTCAGGTATTTAATCCAATACCGCACTGGACACGGTGACTTTCGTCCCTATTACGAAAGGTTTCATCATCTTGATGCCCTTCTGACTTGTTCCTGCGGGGCTAGCAAGTCAATCACTCATTTAGTTTTTTGCCCCATTGTGCGAGAGAGACTTGCTTCGGCCGGCCATTAACAAAGTATGGGCTCACTCTATTTTCTTCTAAGCACCTCCCCAGGAGCTGAGCGTTTCACCACCATATTGGAGAAGGTTAGGTTCCTGTTAGAAATCTGCCCACTCCGTAACATATGAGCTATTCTTGTGAGGTACCCGCTGCATAGCGCTCGCAGTTTCTAAATATATTTTCATGGCCTCTGCCACTGCATATCACGTTTTGTATTACTTAGTAGTCACCATGTCCTCTCAGGGATAGGGCTTTAGTTGTAACTAATGCCCAGTAGACATAAAAAATAAATAAGTATTCTAAATTCTAACAAGAACCTTCACATATACTGAGTCTAGATTTCCAACAGAGAGTTTAGATCACGAGCCAAATCAGGGGGAGCTTGTCAGGGTGGAAGGATTTGCAACAAATGATGGAATGAAGTAGCCCTGATTGCAGGTTTAAAACGCCATTACTCGCCATTACTCGCCAAGCCGAGAGGTATTGCACATGCGAGGGGGAGTTTTGGGCTTGAAGGACCTGAATATGATAAGAGAATGACCGGATGGGACGAAGTACCTCCTTGTTAAGGTTATGAGTCATACGGGAACATAGTTGTCACTTGTTATATCTGATTGGAGTGTGTAGAGGATGTGTTCGATAGATTTTGATACTATCGGGCGAGTGATCTCTCCCCCTGCCTTTTGTTTAATATCCAAAGGCCACTATCATATGACCTGGATCTTCCGCAACACAACATGTCATGCAGACTTCCTGCCCAACTGGTGACCACTGCCGCCGTTTCAATCACGAGGGCGCTAACCTTTATTGTGGCTGCGGATAGCTCAAAGCCCCATTGTACTTCCTAGAGTGCCACCGAACCACCCACAAACGCCCTCGAGCTCCAGTATCTTCAAGGGACCCAAAGAAATTTTTTCCAGGAACCTGGGAAGAGATCCAACGTGTAGCAAAGTGGCTTTCTCTTTCTGAATTTTACGTAAAGACCTGCCCTAGAAATCCTAGAGAAGAAATAAATAGGTCATAAACTCTGCCTCAACTTAGAGCCTTGCATTATGGATGGATGGTGCGGTATCTCTGAATGGATCTGTTAGTAGCATCCTGAGAGTGGTTGTAATACATCAAAGGAGTAATGAGCCTTGGGAACTGGCTGTAAAATTGCAGGTATTACGCCACACGCAATCAAGTGATTAGAGAATTGACCTGCAAACCTAGTTAGGAAGTAGCAAGGGCGAAGCCACCAGGGCAGTTAGGGAGTGCGAAGGCTGAACACCTGTCAGTGGTGCCCTCTACGAACCTGGCAGTGAAATATTCTCTCAGAGCCGAGGTTCAGTCACGACAAAGGGTGAATTTGAGAGTTTTCGTCGAGTTGGTGATATGGAGGAGTGGTGTTGGCTCATTTTTGGTCGAAAATCCCACTTGCAGAGATTTCACGACTGCATAACTCAACGAAATCAACCATCTACACCCCAGATACGAACCGCAGACAGCCTATATCCTGTCTGATGTTCGTATCACAACAACCGACACCTTCAAGATCTTATTTTCTTTTTCTCTGGAAAATCATTCCCAGCCAAACTCATCTCGCGGCCTTCTCAACAATCATCTCACCACCTACCAAAGCAATTCCATACCTCCAAAAGCCAAATCGCCACTAAAAAAGCAAAAGGATGTCCGACCCTCCGCAACTGCCAGTCGCTGTGGAGGTACGGTCGAAAATCGGCCTTAAATGCGTCCTCACCTCGGCCAAGGGCGCCAACAACTCGACCTGCGACGAATCGCCACCGACGAAATACGTACGACATTTCGCCGGCTCACCAGCTAGAGCATTCGACAAAGGCTGGGGCACCGGTGCCTTGGTCTTGAGCTCTCAGTCATATTTTTGATCTCCACGGTTAGGGGTAAGGCAGCGACGGGGCAAGGCCGGAGAGGTGGACATTCAACAAAGTTTCTGGGATGACGATATCGGCTGAAGGATAGAGTGATGCTGTATGAAGGAACCATAAGGGAACACAAATTGAGGAGGCCTTGGTGGGCGACTGGATTAGGCCTCCAGTGAAGAAAACGACCCCTGGATGAGATGAGCCAAAGCTGGGACTAAATGGAGGGAAAAAGTCACAGATCGCGAAGGTGTCAAGGGCTTGGGCGCGTGATGGCCGAGGCTGAGGAGGAGTTTTGCGCTTCGGCGCGTCAAAAGAGGGTTTTCTGGACGGTTTGGCTTGACATGATTCAACACATGGGTGAAGTCTGCGGTGGTCCGGTCATTTACTTGGGACGAGGCACTTGTACTTTATGGTAGTTAACCTGATCTGGCCCGGCCCCACTCGTGCTCAAGCTCCAGCATGAGTGCAGCGGTAGTCACTTTACCTAGCACGTAAATGAACAATACAATACAATACCAGGGCAGTAAGCATTGGCGTCCATGCCTCTAGTTAGTTTAGTGGGTAGTAGGGACCTAAGTTAAGCTTGGCGCCCCGACGGACGAAAAATAGAAAACAAACAAACTGGTGACCACTAACAGTCAGGTAAATATGTGTTGGAAATTCAGTCTCTACGTGTCTGAAGTTTCCCATGATTGGAACAACTAAGATTCTCACACATGACTCACGGCCTGACTCACGACCTAGATGATTGATATCTCCCTTACTGAGCATGTTTGATGCTTGAGACTCGACTAGTGCATGGTATGGTCTGATACACGTGTAGGCTTTCATCCACCGACCCTGACCCCATACTCATATTGTATACTGTCGTGCGTTTCATTGTCATTGTTAGAGTATGAAACGAGTGATGGATGGTATCTAGTCTGGATTTGGTCTATCAAGATTACATGTATATAAGCTGTCTAGGAATCACTAAGACAGATAATAAAAATCAATTCAATTTATTCAAACCATCTTTTATTTCTCCACAGTTTATCACATATTCATCCGATTCATATCATTATTATCCTATTCATAAAATTGCGCCCATATTCTTTGAGCCGCCTTACTCATCGAACCCATACCGGTTTTCCAACATATATTGCCCGTGATAAATAGCCATTTGGCTCAGTGTTTACCCGTGGAATTCGGCCACCTTTCTACGGAACCTTCTACCCAAAAACAAGAAAAAAAAAGAAAAAAATATGGTAGCAATGGAACCTGCGTGCGCGTGAAAAAGTCTCAAAAAACCTGCAGCCCCAGCCAGGCGAGGCCTAGACACCGGGAGCAAATGAGATGCGCTTATTCATCTATATCTCCCTTCTTTGTAACAGTCAAGGTCGACTTGATCTAATCCGCCATCTCCGTATCGGGTGCTGGGTACGCTCGGGAAATTCATCGGATGGCTTTTCCTCCATGATCAAGGGTAGGTGATAGGTTGGGCTTCGACCCTACCATCTGATCTGGCGGTGGTTAGCTTCATGATAATGGTGATAGGGGGGTTGTGCTGAGAGATGAAGTCAACGCAGACTGCGAGGGTGACTGAGAATTTCCGTCGAAGTGTGGAGGAAGGCATGGCGCCATATCGGCTCTGTAGATTCCACATTAAGACGAAGATTTGTAGAGAATGTCGCTGACAGGTGTTAAGTTTTGCTTCCCCTCTTGTTGATTGCAAGGCTAGGGGGAGAGCGCGGACGAGATCTGATGAGAGAAATTATCATGACATTCGGCGAAAATGCGAAACTAAGATTCGAGTTCTGGGTAGACTGAACAGGACTCTGTAGAAGAGAAATTAAAAGCGAGAGTGATTGTAAAGGTTCTCGGAGAAATGCTATTAGACTTTTCTAGACATCTAGGCCTACTATGATCCATGAAAGATTTAGTCTGACGCAGTGTCGCTTCTTCGGCTGGCCAGGACTTATTATGCTACACAAAATAGGGTATGTGGGCCAGCTCTACTTGGCCCGTATTGGACTCCAAGAACAGGCAAAGCCTGCTACTCGTGCAACAAGGTAATCTCAAATAGGAATAAGCTGCATCGCAAAAATGGAGCCTGTTTACTAGATTTCTCAGACATTCTGTCGAATCCAACAATTGTCTCCCATAATCAGTTCCCAACAGCCTTTGATAGGATCTGAGGAGCGGACGGCAAATTTTTATCAAAGCTTTGCGATTCTTGTCAAGCGAGGTGGAAGAATGTATAAAAAAACTAGGTATATGATGAGTCCAATTGTTAAATCATCTCATAGGATCCTTTTCCATCGAACTACCTGGTGGCGGATAAAGAAGTATATAACTCATAGATTTCTCGCGCGTGCCACCCCATCGCTCAACATGGCAATCTATGAGACCAACTTCGACGAACTTATTCTGCTGGAACATCTTTAGCGATGATGGACGAACACGTGCCCATACTCTATCAGCCGTTTGATCCGCAATCTGATTACAGTACTGAGTGAGGAAAGAGCCGAATCCTTTCCTTTGCATGTCGGGACGGATCATGGTTCCTTTGCGGTCTATATCATTCGTTAGAAAAATCTGCAACACCCTTATCATCTAAGCATATATCTTTTTATTCTTACGGTAGTCATTTTCTGGATTGTAGCCATATACTTTCGATTCCCCCATCGTCCTATAATGATCGGCAAGCGATTGCATATCCATGCCCGGTAAAGGCGGCGGCAATTCCGACTTCGCGGCTTTAGCTTTTAACTGTTCTGTCATTGCCGATGGATGCAGATATTTCCATGGGATCTGTAAAGCTGTCCAGCCTACAATGGCTCTGATTGAAATTAGTCCTTTCTTGCGTCTAATCGTTCAATAAAGCGACAAGAGGGATATTGACGCACCCAGACGCATCTTCCGTTATCTTGTAAGTGATGATGTCGGGAAAATTGAATCGAGGAGTGAAATGGGCACAAAGCCAAGGATAAATGTCGTCTGGATTGACTACATTCCGAAAGATACCAGTCCACAACTCGTCTTCCTCAAAAGCTGCCTGATAGATCTGCCAGATCTCTGGCATGTCATCTGGAGTTGCTTCCCCTAGGCGGAAGCCAGGCTCGAGAGATAGCTGTTTGAGGGACATGGGCAACAGATGATTCTAGACGGGTACACTGCGCAGACTTTCGACCACAAATATTGACGTCGGTCGGTCGTTGAAATTGATACAACTGATTTAGTAGAACGAGTAATTGACTATTGTCAGTCGAGAATAACCTCAAGCAACTACGAGCCAAGTCTTGACCTTCAATTTAGCCAGTATCCCTACAATACATTCTTACAAGTGCCCTACTCCCTGCCACCATCACTACACCCCTAAGTACTATCCAACGGGAGCTGCGTAGGAGGTAAATGAGAGCATATACCCCTCGCAAAGGTATCCTTGACATGTAGGTAGAGAGGACCTGCATGTTTTAAATAGTCTTAGACTGAGGAATGAAAATTATTTTAAAAAAAATAATAAACCTACGACTCGTCATGACTGAAAGAGAAAGACTAAGCGGCCGTCGGCGGTGTCCCTTGTGAGATAGAAAGTGAAGAGATCCCTCAGAGCTAATTTAGATGTGATATCTTCTAATACGTGATATGAGTAGATGGGCCCAGAGAACTCATCGCTATCTACATGACCGACAATAAAGCCAGAAGCGACAAAAGAAAATAAAGGACACTCAGAGCCAGTTATTGATTAATTTGAACTATAACGTGCCAGGCACAAACCCTGCATCTGAGTTGAAATGACCCGGGTAGTTGGTCCCGAAAGACTTCAAGCCATCAATAAGTTCTATTCAAGGAGGATGATGAAATCGGTGTGTGTTTTTATTGTACTACTTGAGTCTATGACTATCTAGCACATTGGGCTCCTCTCTGACCCAGGCCACACCTTGTACAGTGCTCTTTGCCTCTCATGTTATTTGAAAGATCATTGATATATTGCCCGTGATGAATAGCCATTTGGCTCAGTGTTTACCCGTGGAATTCGGCCACCTTTCCACGGAACCTTCTACCCAAAAACAAAAAAAAAAAAAAAAGTAGACATGGAGCCTGCGTGCGCGGAAAAAAGTCTCAAAAAACCTGCAGCCCCAGCCAGGCGAGGCCTAGACACCGGGAGCAAATGAGATGCGCTTATTCATCTATATCTCCCTTCTTTGTAACATTCCAGGCCGACTAGATTCAATCCGCCATCTCCGTATCGGGTGCTGGGTACGCTCTGGAAACTCATCGGATGGCTTTTCCTCCATGATCAAGGGTTAGTGATAGGTAGGGCTCCGAATCTACCATCTAATCTGATCGTGGTTAGCTTTATGATAATTGTGGAAGGGGAATGTGTTGAGAGATGAAGACAATACAGACCGCGAGGGCGAATGGGAATCCTCGTCGAAGTGAGGACTTTGTTACTCAATCTCGGCCCTGCAGACTCTACAGTGAGAGCTGGAGGTTCGTAGGGGACACCGCTGACAGGTGTTGAGAATAGTCCCCCTAGGGGGATGACGAAGGCATGCTTCGATAATTAAAGATTTAGGACGCCCCTTGGTGGGCACTCATAGAGAACGATGGAATATTTGAGATGGCAAGCATACCTCTTACAGGCATTTGCGAATGAAATCTAGGGCAACAGCGTCTATAACGTCAAAAAAGTTATCCAACATGTATACATATCACTATTCATGTATCATAGCTAGTTAGCTGATAACACGTTAATTGATTTTTAAAATAAGATTGCCATTGCAAAAGCGTCTGGAAAAATATGAAGAAAATTCTGCGTCAGCTGCCCTCTGCCTCGCGCGGAGCTCCGGATGTTGTCCCGCATAAGATCAATTTCTGCGTCAACAATAGTGTCCCTCCGAACCTCCAATTCCGAATCTACTAGTCAGGAGGGCATCCGAAATACACGAGTTACTCGACAGGCCCACGTCCGTAACGACTTTTGGATGCTGGGCTAGGCACCTTGATGGCAGTCACTCTTGACCGAGACTTTCTGACATCCTTTGGTTTGTGCTGCGGCATGAATCAGGGACGGGGTGTGTAGGAGGCTAGGAAGGTTGAGAGACGCTCTTAGATATACACAGGTCTACTGCGCCCGACTGGACGGCGTCTTCGTTATAGGAGAGCCCTGCACTCGGTGGGTTTTGAGACTTTTCCATGCAGCTACACAACCGCAAATGGCCATCATTTCGTTGGCTGCAGAGAGGTGAGATAATAACGGGATAACGGCACCGCTCAGTGTGTACTCGAATGAAGACCTGTGGAGGTATTACTGCTGGAAAGACGTCGTGAAGGAGGCATAGGTGTGAGTATACTTCCCGTGGCAGAGATACTCTCAAACTTTAGGTAGAAGGGATGCACATGTCCTTGTATAGTCATCGCCTCTACAGGACAATTAACACACACTCACTACTCTCAGTGGAGATCAAAATTGATTGTCGGGATATTGAAATTGACACGACAGGAAGCGAGACGGCGAGTTTGTTTCCCATACTTTTGTTGTGATTCGTTCTTTAGGACAGGTCTGGTGCCTGGAGTTGACGCTGCGAACACTTTTAAGCGACAGCTAGTGTGCTAGGGCTCACATGTAGTCCTGGATAGGCACAGCCTTGTATAAATACATCTAAACTTAACCCTATGGCCGTGGTGCAACCGACATTCTTAAACAGGCCACGATGGAAGGTGTCTTGGTCCGCCTCCCGGTCGCCATCTCCCCTGACTCAAGTCTGGATACTCCGGACACCTACGGCACTCGAGAAAGGGTGGACTGTGAGGCTATATACAAAATAACAAAGGCATGTTAGGGGAGCCAAAGGTTTTACCAGTTTTACCTTTGGTGGGTATGAACGGTTGACGGAAAGGCGAAACTCCCCTGCACAAAGGTCTCAAGTAGTATCAGCGAATGCACCCACTACACGAGTAGTCCAAATGTCAAACTTTGTTATTGTCGTATAAATTCGTCGGGGAAGCTAGTCTATTCCGTGTTGTGCTCTTTGAGGGCAGGGATTGTGCCCGTCACGAATAAATATACCTTTATTCCCCCCATCCCTGTCCCCAAGTCTTGGCACTAATTCAATAAATCTGCACATAAATCGTCCTTCCGCTTGTGGTCAAGCGACTACAGTCTCTTACGGGTGGCAAAGGTAAAATTGTCCTAGTGACTGGGGTTAGATCCCTGTACACATTGCCTTAATTGGTATGATCTTCATGCAGGCCCATGTCTAGTTACTCGACTAGTTATGCAAGCAAGGGGTACTATCCAATGACATTCCGTGAAAGTCTAAATTATGGAGATGGTTTTGAACTCAATGGGAAAAGTACAATAGTCCTCAATTAAAATTCAAAATTGAAAAAAGTCAATTGATATTCTCTAGATATGCACATCTATTTCAAAAATTTTTGCTCTGTATTACAAAGTCTACATCGAAGCCCTCGGTATGGCTCGCAACTAAAATGAAAGCGTACTACATGTTTTGTGTGTCTTCTCCATCCTAATACTTTGTGTACCCTCCACTTGCCTTTATCACTGCTACACATCTTTCGTGCATGCTGCCAACTAGTGACAATAGCTCGTCAGAAGGTATAGACTCCTGTGCGACCTGTAGCAATGTCTTCAACATGGCAGAGCGCACAAGCCTGACCCCATTTATCTCTGGACTATTTACCTGAATGTGATTTCTTAAGATGTTCCATAGTGACTCAATTGGGTTCAGGTCCGGAGATTAAAGTGGCCATCTCATAGGCGTTATTCCAACCTCACGTAGTGCCTTAGTTGTTGAGTGTGCTTTATGACATGGTGCGTTGTTGTGCATGTATAGAATTCCTGGATTTTCCATGTGAAATTGATTCAAAAGTGGCAAAATCCTTTCACAAAAGGATGAGGCCCTCATTGGTCCCCAATCCTTCTCCCAGACTAGGAATGGGCCTTTTTGTGATCCGTAAAATGATCCCCAAAACATTCAGCTGTTCCCATGAGCATGGCGAGCCACAATACAAGTCTCATCAAACTCATCATCAGGCTAAACTCTGCTGTTGGTACAAGGAAGATTTAGATATAATTTAAACGTACTTTTCTTGTGACACGAGGTTTCATATGACAATCACCCGATACCCAGGTTTCATAAGTCCATAATATGCGACTCCATAGTTCATCGCTCCAATCTAAATGTAATTGGGCGAACTCCAATCTTTTCTGCTTGTTCACTGCGCTTAACGGAGGCTTCTTCCGAGCAATGCATCTGCTGTAACCTCTTTTTTTGAGTGCATTAGAAATTAGACGTTCACTGCATCCCCAGTGGCTGAAGGGCCCCATGGCTAGTTCCAAATAGCACATCTGCCGATTTTCAGGTGACTCCCGGACGAATGCTTCAAGGTCATCAACTTGTTCTGCGCTTAATTTTGGTAAGGGTCCTTTGCGAGACATAGGATTCTCAGTCTCTCGAGCACACGCAAGTTGTACTTGTCTTATTGTGAAGCCAAGTTTGTCAGATATATTTTGAAGTGTCAAGCCAAGTCTTCTTAATGCTCTTATTTCTATACATTGATCGCGAGTTAGATGCTTGCGAACTTTAGTTTCTGAAGCAGACTTTTCGAGAGACATTGTTTGCTAGAATAGAGGATGAATTGATAGTGGTGAGAAGTTTCAGTGGCTGTATGGGCTTGGCAGCCAAAAATGTCGTTGAAAATGTGTTTTACTGAGCGATTATTAGAAGACGATTGGACCATACTTCATGGCGAGCGGGGTAAGGAGGAGAGACATACTAACCTATTACGAACTAGCCCAACTGCGCCTACAGGGCTAATCCCTTCAACGACCCAGTTTGAAGTTTTACCTTTTGGAACCTAGAGGCACTGTAGTTGTCCATGCATAAGTTTATTTACTAACCTCACTTTGACATTCCGTAAACGATGCTCGGATCAAGCGGGTGGCAACTGTTCAGGGACTACGTCCAGAAGAGCGGAATATACGCGGAGGCTAGCCGGGGGATGGCAGGGATACCCGTGACTCGGAGGTGATGATCGAAAGCCCAGGTGGTTTAGCATAGACAGAGAGATTGGATTCGAGACTCAGGCGCGTGGTGGCCGAGGCGGAACGATGGAAGG